AGGTGTGAACTTAAATGAATACATTGGAATGGACGGAACGTCAACTTCTCTCACATTAGATGTATATTCAAAAGTGACTCTATAGTCATTCAAGGCATGCTTGTAGGTCTTGACACTAAAAAAAGCAGATAGGTTTGACATTACATAACATCTGTTCACTTTGATCTTAGACTCAAATTTGTATAACAGTGTATACTTAATGGAAGCTTGCACCGTATCACCCTGCGTAATTAAAAAACAAATGTGAAAAATATATTTTCCTAACAATCATATTTGACGTATTAAAATAAAATAATCACCTGTTCATCAATGAATATCATCTCCATGTCTTGAAGATCTTTCTTAAAATAATTTGGCTGTTTCCAAATGTGCAAAACACGGATTTTGAGATTCCATGACTTTTTTTCACCTCCCAAGTTTCTAATGAGATCTACTTGCCTTGACATCTATATGTGTTTAATACACGTAATCAAAAATTTGTTAGTGAATTAAATCAAACAATAAAAGATGAATATACGATAACAACTCTTGAATTATATATATTCCAAAATATGCATAAAGTATAATATATAATCTATATGATAATGTTACATTAATTCATATGCTCGGGTATCGGGAAAGAAAAAAATTAAAAAAAAAAGGTAAAAGATTATTCTAAAATAATATTATACTCACGATTCACAAAAAGAGAACGATGGTCGGCTGATGAAGTATTGAGAGAACAATATTATCCTGCAGTTAGAATAACAATGAAATGAACCGGGTATATATAATATGATGATATTTAATAATTCCTAAATCATAGTAAATGAAATACAATCATGGAAGTAAAATTATAATTCCTAAATTTTAGTTCCGTAATTATAGTAAATAAAATACAATTATATTTAATAGTACCGAAATTAGGGTAAATTATAGTTAATAAATATTCATATTCCATGTAATTAACTAAAATTAAGCAATTTCTTATAACTAAAATGCATAAATTACGATTAGGCATATATTTATATGCCTAATCTATATTAAATTTAGATCACCTACATAAATATAAAAAATTACATGTTCATAAAAAAAGCATGTTTCTATTGTTACGGTTTATATATATATATATATATATATATATATATATATATATATATATATATATATATATATATATATATATATATATATAGATATATATATATATATATATATATATATATATATATATATATGTATATATATATATATATATGTTCTATTATTAGAGTATATTATAGTTAATATCTATACATATTACATGTAATGAACTATCCATAAGCAATTTCCTATAAATAAGCTGCATAATTTTCGATTAGGAACATATTTATATGCCTAATTTATATTAATTATAGATAACCTACATAAATATGAGAGATTAAATCGATATTAATTAGTATAAAGGAAATAAAATCTATATTGTGTGAATATATCCATAAAAATTAAATATATTATACACGGATTCTATTGTTAAAATAAATATACATATTTTAGTGATTTTATATATATATATATATATATATATATATATATATATATATATATATATATATATATATATATATATATATATATATATAACGGATTAGGGAAAAAACAATATAAATTTCAAACATGTTAATTGCACACTATTATATATAATGCTTATGCTTTTTGAACATTTAAAATTGCTTATAAAAATAACGGAATCTATTGTTTAAATACGTGATATATATTGTGACTATTTTTGTAATATATTATAATTGTTTTATCGTTTCTACATATTTATTTAATTATCTTATGGGTATTCGTTTTCGTGTGGATGCGCACAATTATGTTAATGGTATACAATGCTCTTTCAACATGATAAATAAAACACTAAAAAAATGGAAATTATTTATAAATCGATGCAACTCATATTATTAGTAATAAAACTTTAAGGAGGACGGAGACATATCATATCGTTGGAAAGGCTGGGCCGTGCCACACCTCAAGTACATCATCCCATTGGTTAAAAAAAAAGAATACGTGTTGCCGCAAACCATGTTATGTGCGTAACAAAACTCTGTCCAACCGTTAGTCAACAACATATACATTTTTCCATGTTTTTTGCGCGAAGATACCGCAACTTGAAAATGATTTCCCTCCTCGTATCGAATATTGATAGTAGACAATCCGGTCAACCGAGAAGCCTCAACAAAAGCATTCTTTAAAGGCTACATATAAAATTGAATGAAGAAATCAGATACAAAATAAAGCAATAATTCATTGTTACACTAAAAAAGAGACTATGATGAATATACCATTGCATGTAGGTGATACCAATGCAATTCTTTTTCAAGAATTCTCTCCATATCTCCGAAACAGAAAAAAAAAAAAATATGTGGAAAAGTTGAAGAATGTACATCATGTTGAATGTTAATTTATAGTAGAGTTAGGTAATATAAAAAAGGTAATAAAAAGAGTAATTAATATAAATTGATGTAATTACCTATTTTATCTATACTACTTTAAAAATAAACATGTAGGAGAAATAAAATTTAAAAATCATTATTGTGAAATTAATTCATTAATACAATGGGTGACTATGGTAAGTTGGGTTATTTTGAAATTAATAATAATATGTGATATATGTGGTGGAACATAATTGCATTTCAGTCCCACGATTTTTTTAATAAAAATATTATAATAATAAAAAAACTCATTAACCAATAAAAAGACACTATTTTGCCACGTAGGATAGATGAAATTTGAAAACTGGGTTTTTTTGGCAATTGATATAATATTGTGCATAAAATTTAATTAACCCAAATTAAGTGGAATGTCCATTTATATATTTACGTTTTTTAATATGAAGCAATGGATTAAAAAGGAAAATCAATAACCAATAAAAAGACACCATTTTGACATGTAGGAGAGATAAAATTTAAAAATCATTATTGTGAAATTAATTCATTAGTAATATGGGTGAATATGGTAAGTTGGGTTATTTTGAAATTAATAATAATATGTGATATATGTGGTGGAACATAATTGCATTTCAGTCCCACGATTTTTTTAATGAAAATATTATAATAAAAAAAAACTCATTAACCAATAAAAAGACACTATTTTGCCATGTAGGATAGATGAAATTTGAAAATTGGGTTTTTTTGGCAATTAATATAATATTGTGCATAAAATTTAATTAACCCAAATTAAGTGGAATGTCCATTTATATATTTACGTTTTTTAATATGAAGCAATGGATTAAAAAGGAAAATCAATAACCAATAAAAAGACACTATTTTGACATGTAGGAGAGATAAAAAAATTAAAAACCAATAATGTGAAATAAATTCATTAGTAATATGGGTGAATATGTTAAGTGGGGTTATTTTGAAATTTATAAAATATTATGGACTCAATCTCCTCAATTAGAAAACTTTGATTGTGTATCTTAGTTTTATATATAATATAGATTTAATAGTTAATACCAATGTATTTACAATAAATATGCTAATAAGTTGGTAATCGGGTGCAATTAGTTAAAATCGTCATTTTATATGATACTTAATAAAATGATGTTAATAACGCCAAATTCTATTTTCACCTCTATATTTGGTAGGAAAAATAGGATTTGGTGGAAAAAATAGGAAAATGGTGGACCGGTGGGAGATGAAAATTCCTTCACTAAAAAATTTGGTGGAAAAATAGGATTTGAGTATTTGGTGATATGGGGGTTGACCACGGTGGGAGGCTAAAACCAAATCTCTATAATTTTAGGTGTAATGGTGATATGGAAATTTCAGGTGGGAGACTAAAAACACCTAAATTAGATGAAAAAATGGCGTTATGACGTCCGGTCGAAGATGCTCATACAAAGTTCGATTAGTTTTGCTATTTGTGAGAGTCAAGTTAGATCTTTCTAAACATTCACTACAACATAAATTCATGATTTATTTCTATCATATTTTTTCCTTACGAACTTCAATTAAAAATATTCAAGTTGGGTTAGAAAACCTCGTAAAACCAACAACTTTCACGGTTTGTAATGTCTAGATTCATTTTATATGATGTATAAAATCAATGTTAAATATTTTAATAAAATAAGTCTATTTATCTAATATAAAAACCAAAAGAATGTTGTATATTTAACTCGGTTATTTCTATGCTACACTCGGTGAAAACTACGTCGGATGATTTTTTACCGTTGATCTACACACATTAATGTGGGTGTGTGGGTGTTTGTGTGTATATGAGTGGTAAAAATCTACTCGATGTATTTCACCCGATATAGCATAGAATAAACCATTTAACTCTCAGAAATATCCATTTAAAAAAAAAAAAAGGAATAATTTAAGAATGACGAGTGTTTGAAACGGATGGTGTTGACATAATTTACCATTCCGAATTGTTTTGAATACTTTTATCCCAAATTGGTAACGCGTGGAATGCAATTACACGAAACCACATGGGCCAATTTATAATTATCCTTATTTAAGGCCAGCACCATGTCACGGACTTGTTCCCTTAACAAAGAACCGTGCGGCCTTAGCTCCTTCTCGCCCCTCGCGATAGCTAAGTCAGCCTCTCCCGAATTGTGTTGCGAATACTTAAGTGATGGAAACGAAGAAAGATAGTAAGAAGACAAGAGAGTTGGTAGAAGAATACTTTATTGGATTTGTTGGTGAATGATTACAAATGAGGTCCCTACCTCTATTTATACAAGACCACCTCCTCAATGGACGGTGGAGATCGATATGATCTAACGGATGGGAGTGGAGCAATCCCTTGATTGTCTCTACCTACCACCACCTACCACTACCTACCAAAAATGGCTCTACCTACCACTATACAATTGGGCCAACTTGGGCCTAACCCTAGTTGGGCTACAACTTGGACTCTTTGTAACCTCCCCAACCCAAGGGAAATCGGCAAGGGGTTGGGTCAAAACTCGCGGGCCGTGACAACCAGCACAATAAAATATTAGTAACATAACTTCCCCGTCGGCCATAGCTGTGATGAAGTAAGGAAAAAAGGAGCGCAGATCAAGAATCTCTTCCTTGCCTCTCTGAAGATCTAATTCTCCTCTCTATTCTTTCTGGTTAGCACTCTCTCTCTCTCTCTCTCTCTCTCTCTCTCTCTCTCTAATTTCATGTATGTATAGGGATTTTCATGTTGTTATTTGTCCCCCTGTGATTTGATTTTCCAAGTACTTCATCTTCTTTGTTGAGATTTGATTACAGCGGTGGTGTGAAATTTACCATTTTCTTACTGTTTTTACGAACTGCTTTACGCCGACGCTTCTCTTTGATTTTGGAATATTTTAGGGCACCAAACAAATAGGCAATTATTGCGAATGCATACTTGAAATAGAAAATTGGCATAAGAAATATGCTTATGATATTTGCAGGTCGATTAATTACTAAAGGTTATTAGGGATTGCAGTGATTTGAGGGGTTCTTATCGTTTACAGCAATTGTTTTATATACTTCTTCCCTGCATACACTTCTAATTTGTAGTATCCAATGTAATCCTGCAATTTCTTGTTTTGATTTTTCATTTTTAATTTTTAATTTTTAATGTCATTGCGAGTTCAAATAATACAGTGTATTCTATCGTCGTATATGTGCAGTGTTTGAATGGCTTTTCGTTCCATGTTCTATCGTTTGCTTTTTTTGTAACCCTAATACCTTAAATGCAAATATTTCAGTACAAGCTATTCTCTGATCTGGACATAAGCCATAAGTCTAGTCTGAAACGATAGTTTTGCTCAAGATTTATCGAGGAACGGTATATTCTGTTCGATCACTGCATTAAAGATGCAGAGTGAGGATGAACAAGTGGTGGATTCTTCTAAAGCAGAGACGACCAAAACATGCACACAAACACCTGAAGTTGATGACTGGGCAAATTTCAGGGATGATGATATTATGCAGCAGCAATCTGCCATCCAGGCTGTCGAAGCCGACAAGATTCCGTTTGTCGGTGACAAGGCAAGATCCTGCAATATCCAGTTTTTCAATATATATTTCTTATAACTAATGAGTCGCATACATGTTTTCTTTCGGTAATCGATTTTATAAGTTAAGATTGTGAGTGTTATTATAATACGTATCTTGTAGAACACATCCATATAAGGTATCGGAAAATGTTTATCGTCTTTGTACAGACAGATAAACGAGGAGTGATTTTGCTAATGATGTTTCATTTGCAGGAGCCTCTCTCGTCTTTAGCAGCTGAATACAAGTCGGGAAACCCAATTATATTGGAGAAAATCAAGGTCTGCGTAGTAATTTTTAAAAACGTTTTTTTCTAGTTTCTATTGAAACTTAATCCTCTGTAGATAGTAACTGTTACAATCTGTGAAGGTCCTGACTGAACAATACGCTGCCGTGAGGAGAACACGTGGAGACGGGAATTGCTTCTTTCGCAGCTTCATGTTTGCTTACCTCGTACGTCTTTTTGTTTTCTCATTTCTTACGACTGTAGTATTTTTAATTAGGGTTTTGAAATTTGCGGTCCGACAAATTTTAGGAGCATATTTTGGAATCACAAGACCGTGCAGAAGTTGATCGTATAACAGCCAGCGTGGAGTACTGCCGAAAGACACTTCTCAGTTTGGGCTATGCAGAATTTACTTTTGAAGATTTTTTTGCGGTACTGATATTATTTTACTTTTCGATAATTTACTCAGTCCCATTTATGTAAAAAAAAAAAAAAACGTTTGTGAATATTCGTGAATCTTATCTTTCTGAGTCTTATCTGCTCGTATTTTTCAGCTATTCCTTGAGCAACTTGAAAGTGTTCTTTCAGGGCCTGAAGCTTCCATAAGGTTCAGAAACTTATATTATCTACTTGTACAATTTTGCCCTTTCCTTCGTTTCGTCGCAGATACATATACGACTAATACGTGTCTTTTGTTTTTTTAAATATTCACAGCCATGAAGAACTTGTAGAGAGAAGTAGAGATCAGTCGGTATCTGACTATGGTGAGTGGCGCACACATTTTCTAGGATATATTAAACTTCCGTTTTTCCTTTTAATTTCTCTACTAACGTAATATTTTGTTGGCTAGTTGTAATGTTCTTCAGATTTATTACCTCTGGTGAGATAAGAAACCGTTCAGAGTTCTACGAACCATTTATTCAAGGATTAACAAATACCTCAGTGGAGCAGGTTCGTTTTCTTGAATTTATGTCATACTACCAACCATAAGAATTACGGATTGTGAAACTAAACAACACAAACACGAGCATTTGTTGCATTTAATTTAATTAAGCATAAGAATTGATATATTGTGGTTATGGTGCAGTTTTGCAAGTCGTCGGTGGAACCAATGGGGGAAGAGAGTGACCATGTTCACATAACAGCCATATCAGATGCATTGGGAGTAGCGATACGGATAGTGTATCTTGACAGAAGTTGTGACGATAAGGGCAGCGTGACTGTGAACCATCACGATTTCAGTCCTGTTGCTCGTGATCCGACAAATGCTAATATTAATAATAATAGTAATAATTCTCAGCCAATCAAACCATTCATTAACTTGCTATACCGACCGGGTCATTACGACATTCTCTACCCTAATAACTAACTTTTCCTTCCTTTATATTTTCTTGTTTTCGACATTTTGTCCAATGATGGTGACTTTAAGATACTCGGTGAAGTTGGATTACTTCTCATTTCTCCTAAGGCTTCTCAATTCGTAAAACATTTTTTTTTTTGATTGAGGAACTTATGTGTTATGAAAACATTTGTCGCAACTATATGATATTTGGTTTATGTTTTCTGTTAGTTGTCGACACGCAGTAGTGAAAATCGGACGTATTGGATCGAAATTACCAATATAAGAAGCAATTCGATTTTTTAAGAAGTTATTTTAGTAATTCCAGTTGCATTCCAAAAAAAATCGTTAACCATTGGAATTTTTGAAATTGTTGTCAAAAATTTGTTCCAAAACTGAATTTTCAGATTTCATTCAGTAGGACACTTCCAAGTTAATGTAATATAAAATTGATTTCAAGGAATTTTGTTTAAATGGCCAGGGCAAATAGCTAAAAGTCGTCATTAGTAATTTACTAATGCCCGTCTTTATAAGGTTCCGATTAAAGTTTCTCGTGTGTAGAACCGTAGTGAAGAAAGTTAATTAACTTACGACTAAGTGTAATTTACCCACTATTCATACTTTCATTCACGATATGTGTAGGAAATAACTTCCATGTAAATCATCTTCTGTAATTTCTTAGTAGTTTACACCTATATATATGAGAATATTTCATCCGCTTAATGATTTCACAATTATCTCTTTACGGATTTTTGTTCTTTGTATTATCTCTTTCTTTTGTTGTTTACATTGTACTGTATACTCCATTACTGCATTATTCCACAATAATCAAGACCAAAGAGTTAAATAGGTCATTTTACAACAACCACATTCTTTCCATCTCTTCTCGAAAAACAAGGGGGCTATTTCTTTGCAAAACTATGCTCAATTTCATATGTGGCAATTTCGCCAAGATCTCTTTGTTAGTTGGGGGAAGAATCCGCACGAATCGGATTTTTTGAGGAACGCATCGAGAGAGGATTTGATTTGGTTAGGCAATGTGTGGCTGGTAAACAACCGCCCTGTCATTAGTGCTCGGTTAACTGTTTTGAGCTCTACTAAGGTTATGATGAGGAACTTCAAATTGGATTCGAATTGTAAAATAACTATTTAATTCGCAGAAGAGTTATTCCAACGTCGTTTAGACTCCTAAAAGTTCGTTTTGTACTCAAATACAATTTGAGTTCGTAGAAAACCCTTATTTTTCCATAATTTCTTTCGATATTTCCACCAATGCCCACTAATAATTTTTCTCCGAATTAAATAGTTATTTTGCAATTTGAATTCAATTTGAAGTTCCTTATCAGGTTAACTGAGATTAACTATATTGATTTATAGCTAACTAGATACACATTAACCTCTACTTATGTGAGCTGAATTAGAATAATTTGTAGCTAATTCGACATATCTAAGCTTAATTATAAGGATTAATAGCTAATTAGGTTGACTTAATTTTAGTTACTTGAGCTTAACAAATTAATTTGTAACTAACTAGGCTGATTTTAGTTTCAATTATAGAGATTAACAAGAATCATTTATAGCTATAGACTGATCTAAGCTTAATGGACTTACCTTAATTATGCTTAAATGAGGTACTGTACTTGTGTTACTAAATTGGTCAGGTTTTGTCCATAATTTAATTAAGGGCAAATTACGGCCACCCCGTCAGATACATGTGTTCAATTTTTTTAACTGGCTATATAAATTGGCCTACAACCATAGTTATTGAATCGGAAAATATCGGCGTATTGTTTTCCTCCATGTATCGTATCGTATCGTTATCGTATCGTATCGTACGATATTTAATCAACTATTAAAAATAATAAAATATATATATCTACATAATAAAAGTACATTCCTAATTTCATAAAAAAAAATCTATCATAAAATATATCATAAAATAGGACAGAAGTCATAACTATTCATAAATATAACAGTTCAAATTTTAATCCCTAATTTATAAAAAACTAATCTATCACTCATAATCTTCAAGATCAATGTAACTTCAATTTTTTTCATCCACCAATTTCAAACGAGTGTCTACATCCTCATGTTCATCAATCTCTTCAACTTCATCAACTCCAACTTTGGCATTTTCCTATTTTCTCTTATCAATATAAAACTTGGCGTGTAAATTTCTTGGATCTAATATATGTAAAAAAAAAACATTAAATAATATTGAAGTACGTTTTCAGGCCCTGATAATGTGAATATTTCGTTTTTTTCTTTTTTTCTTTAATTTTTTATTTTTTTAATTTTTTAATTTTTTTAAAATTTTTAATTTTTTTTTTTTATATTTTGACTAATATCGTATCGTATCGTGATATGGCGATACAATACGATATCTCGCGATATTTAACGGTATTCATGCATAGCCGATACATATTATGAGTTGTATCGTTTTGATTGGACCGTACCGTCTCGCGATATATATCGCGGTATCTCGCGAGTTTAACTACTATGCCTACAACCATTCAAAAAGAGAGTAGAACTATTGATCTAATACTACCCTCCTCGTTCTATATTACTTGGGCAATGCCTTTGCACCCCATAATTCATTTGGAGTTTATTACTTGGGCAAATTACGAGACGTTACAAACCTGGTCATCAAAAAATAGCCGTCACATTCTATGTAATGGCATGGACGATAAAGAGTTTGAACCGATGTCCAGTTTTCGTATATCATGCTATCTTTTGGATCACGATTTCCCCGAAAAAAAAATATTATGGTATTAGGAGCTGGTAAAATTTGAAAATTATAAACATTCAAAAGTAAATGCAAAAGGGAAAAAGTATCATTTTTTCTGCAAATGCATTTTTCACCAATTTTTTGGGATTTGCATTTGCGTAATACGTACCTAAAAAATCCGAAAGAAAATTAAACTAAACCAATAAATAGTCGACTGCGTGTTCTTGAGAAGATGGACTGGACTATTCCATTCGACGGTAGTGGAAACGAGAAATATCGAAATTGATGGAATATTTCTGCGGAAAATGGAGTATCTCAAACTGAGAATATTGTGAAAATCGTAGGTGGGAAAGAATGTGTCTTAACTTTTCAACAATTATTTAGAGATGAGTTCGGTTCAAAGGGAAAAAATATAAGGATGTATTTGGATAGAGGGATTTGATTTGGGGAATGATTTTGAAATGATCACAATTTGGAGTCATTTGAAATCCACCACAATTGCTCCAAAAACAACTAAAAAAGAGGGGTGTGGACTTCAAATTCATCACCAAATCCCTCAATTCAAACAAGTCCAAGAAATTTGTTATTATGGATCTGAAATCCCTCCATCCAAACGCAACCTAAAGTAATACTTGGAGGTGGCCAGGTATAGTTAAAAGGGAAAAAATAAGGAAAAAATGTGGTGAACTTAATTCTATTAAATCTGCCATGATTCTCTTGTTGTTGAAGCCTTAGCCATTAGAGATGCATGCATGTTCATCAACGAGGCAAAACTCAAAAAGTTCAAGTTTTGTTCAAGAAGTTCAAATTTTGGCGCCCACAATCTTGTGAAGTGGGTGTTCTCGTGCAAATCGAACGGTTTTATTCATGCTAATTTATTGCCTAATACTCAATCTTATTTCAAATAAGTGGCGCTTAAGGTCTTAACACATTAATTAAGAAAGTTAATAAATACTATTGGTTTTAGAGAAAATAATTCATATTTGACAAAATTAACATTTTGTGGCTTTAAATCTCTCTTTACTAGTTCATTAACAACCTCTCATTAATTGTAGGGTAAAATGGAACAAAAAAAAAATTGTCTTATCTTAAAATTCTAAAGTGACACTTAATATGAAAAATATAATTATAGTTAAAACGACACTTAAAAAGAAACAGTTGAGTAGTTGTTTCTGTGATGGGGTCACCCCTTGTGGACTCTCAGTTCTTATTAATGCAATGTTTTTCTTATCAAAAAGAAAATCTATTACTCCATCCATCCCTTTTTATATGTCGTTTTTGTTTGTTAAGCGTAGATTAAAATAGTCAATAAATATGTATAGATTATACCAAAAATATCATTGTAAATACTAAAATACTCTTGTCACTAATTATTTTTTAATTAACTAATTAAGGGAGATGGGAAAAATTGATAAAAATACAATTAATACGTTATTGGAACTCTAAAATGACAAATAATTTTGAACACAAAACACTCCAAAAAAAACGTATAATACGGGACGGAGGAAGTATAGTTTTTTGATGGGATATAAAGACGCAGTAGTGGACCCATTTTGGTAAGCACATTTTCGAAAGGACAATGCTAAATGGCCAGAATCTGGCCAGCCAGAAATTGATTTTTTTATTATTATTTATAGTCTATTACATCTATACCCTTATTATTAGCTTTCCCTCCAAAATATTTCCCTCCTCCTCTGTCATTAAGTTAACATTGATGAGCCTAAAATAAACCAATTACCAAACAATAAAAACCAACCATTACTTATTCCCGGATGGATTCACGTGAAGTGGTGCAGGGGTGACTTTTGTAGATGAACCAGGTGAAGTGCTTTGTTATTATTATTGTTAATTTATTTCAACTTATAGTTTATTATATTATTAGTCAATTTGCAAGAAAAAAAATAATACTAATTGGAAATAAAATAAGTCTATTCGAAAAACATTACAAAATAAAAATCATCACAAAGTCTAAATAAGAATTTGGATATAAAATTTAACAGAGTTCATAGACATATGAAACCATAAGAAAATACATAAAAATAATAACATTATTAATAATAATTAAAAGATTGGTTATATCTAATGCTATTTTTTTTATTTTTTTTGAAGCAGCAAGCTAATAAATTTCGTTGGTGTATATGTCAAGTTATATCAATTTTGAATGAAGGGATTGACATTAACCATTTTTCCATCATTGCCTTATTTTTTATCTAATGCAATGTACAACAAACTGGTCTTGTATTATTAATATTATTAAACTTGATTTTTATCAGTATTTATTATTATTATTATTATTATTATTATTATTATTATTATTATTATTTTATAAATAACTTTGAAATTTTAAAAAATAAAGAATTTTATCGAACAATCAATAATTCAAAACTAACAAGATTGAATATAAGAACTATAAACTTATCCAACAAACTAATGAATACAAAAAAACTTAAGAATATATTTTTGTAATGCATGCACAAATTCTATAATATTTTACTAATCCACTACTGCTAGTATAGATTATTTATCAAAGTAAGATTTTAGAAATATATATATAGTTGTAAGTGTAGGTTAAGTATATTTTCTAATATTCAAAGCATTCTATACATACAAATTTATTAGTAGACATGTAATTTCATGATGAGTCATAGAAAATATTCGATTGAATTCTCTTAGAAGTATAATAAATAAATAAATAATCATAATATTAATTTCTTAACTAATAAAAGTAATTATGTGTCTAATTGATAATTAGAGTAGTTAATTTCGTGATTCTAATGGCAATTTCAAAAGTAGGAATAAAATTGATCATAATCCGATTTTATTAGCAAATTTGAAATTGAATTAGAGATATTGAATCAAGATCCACTTATCATCTAATTTTCCTCTCGATCGTGCGACCCACATTATGGGTGGTAAACGAGCTGAGCTGACTCGTGAGCTCGATGAGCCGACTCGAAGAAAAAAAACTCGAACTCGATGTCGAGTTTTTCCAGCTTGATTTTTTTGACAAATCGAGCTTGAGATTTTTTTAGTTGTTTATGAACTCACGAGCCGACTCGCCAGCCTTCTTTTTATTTATTTTTATTTTTTATTTAAAAATATATAGTAATATAAAAACAACATATAAAAATTAAAAAAATATATAATTACAATTTATTATTTATTTTGTAATTTTTTTATGTTATAATATAAATAAATTTGATAATAAAATTTAATTCACCCAAGAGTTTTCAGTTATTTTATTAAGATAATCACATAATTAATTAGTGTAACTCCATAAGCCAATTCAATAATCATTAACCAGTATTCTTCTTTATCACTCTCATTGTTCGCAGCCCCTACCCCACATATGTATTTATATAGTGTCTGTTTCTACAACCCCTCACAGTCCCAATTCCTCTCTCTCTCTCTCTCTCTCTCTCTCTCTCTCTCTCTCTCTCTCCTATGCCGCCCACCATCCCATATCCGCCATCTTAATACATATACAATATACATGAAATTAAAAGGTTTACCCAAACATTTAAAAAAATAAATTAATTAATGTTATTTTATTGGAAGTTGTAATCTAATAATTAATACATTGAAATTTGAAATCCTAATAATTATATGTTGTGGAGAGAGAAAAAAAAAATTCAAATTCAAACTGGACAGTAAATAACTAAATATTATAAACAAGGATATATTAGTAATTGTATATATTAATATCTTTTGTAAAGTTACAAAATTGTCCTTTTTGGCCACCAAGCTTTATTGTTTTCGAAATATTTAGGAGATTATCATTCTTACTTTGGGATTATGAATATAAACCAAGTTTCGGAACACACATTCCCCAACGTCTTGTTCCCAATGTTCTTTACATTTTACCAAAATAAATGGACTACATTGGTTGCTACACTAAATACTATATAAATCAAACCACTCGATATAATTTGTTGCTAAAATTCAATATTCCCAACAATTTTATTTGACTCTTGAGGTATGGCCAAATTACGAAAAAAAATTCTTCTTGTTTGGGGTAATTACAACCACCCCTCTCTATTATGAATTTTCTTACACGTCCACCCTATGGTATCAAAATTCACCAGAATCTTCTAAATTCCGTTGAATGTTCTCTAGTTTGTACTCATTTTGTGCATAAATACAGTTTCTGATGCATCATAATCTAATATTACAAGCTAAGAGAGACATCTTATGATCATGTTGATTGAGAATATGGAGCTCGAATAAGGTAAAATTTCATAGTTGATGAGTGATTAATATGAAGGGATTTTCATAATTTGAACTTATCTCAAGGAGATGACCGTAATTTAACCGTTTTATTTTGATCATTTGAACACGAAAAGAACTCAGTTCAATTAATAGACTATTTCTTTTTCTTTTTTTTTTTTTTGTTTTCTTTCTGGAACTGTACCTATATACTTCACGAACTTTGCACCCATTTAAAAAAAAAAAAAAAAAAAAAAAAAAAGGTCCCAACAAAGAAAACAATCAGTATCAGAATCCAGAACTGATATCGACAACTAAACAAAGTGGATTAAAAGTAGACGAAACTCAATATTTATCAGGAACATTAAAATAGGACAACAGAATGTATGAATCACAACAAAAATTCTCTAGCAGAGTCTGTTTCTGACAAGATGATAAAAAACCGAGCAAAAAAAGGAGGAACCGAAAAGAAAGAAAGAAAGAAAGAAAAGGAAATGACCTTCGAAACCGCCTCCATACAGCATAATTTTTGCTGTCGCTCACAAACTCTATACATACATAATGAAACTCCTCGTAATATTTTCTCCAAAATTTTGAAGCTCCACATCCATTATGTTGCTCCTTCGTCAACTCGGCGCACCACAAAATCAACAATTCAATGCAATGCTTTTTTAGGTCAGGCAATTTTGTCAATTTCTACACATTTTTTTGTTCACCAGAAATTACGCTTTCGTAGTCCCCCCATGTTACTACACCTCCACTGTCTTTTCTTACCACACCTTAATATACATACAATAACAAAATTTTGATGTAAAATACAAGGACATATTCATTTTTTTTTTTCTAGAAGGTTAGTGATACTCAAAAGAAAAAGGCGCGGGCAGCAATTCAATCAGAATCTTTGCCCGAACCAGAAGATGAATCTCCGTTGAAATATTCCTCCCCCATGAAAGAATTTGATGGGTTATCTAGATTGCTTTCCTCAGAGTTGCTGGTTCGAATTTTTCCGGGTCTTGCTCTAATATTGGGACCCATTGGGAATGGAACCTGCAGTCGCAATAAGCAGATAGAATGAAGTAGACGTCAGTTTATGTCTAATTAAATTTATTAAAATAAAAAGAAAGCCAAACATGCAAGTGATAGTCAAAGAACGACAAAATGCAAGGACTGAAAACTGAAAAGTAGAGTCTTGTAAGATATGAATCAAGCCTACCTTTTTAACACAAAAATTGATAAGATTGTAAAATTGTGATATCAGGGATCGAGAAAAACATAACGAGGACATATATATTCAGAATCGTGGAGAGAGAGAGTGAGGCAGAACCTGATCGCCTGCATTAGGACCATCTGTATGGAAGAGTATAGGACGACATCTCTTGTCTTCATTCATCAAGCTTGAATTCTGGAAGTGTGCAATGAGGGCGGCCTTTCCCTGAATTCTAGCATATGCCAACGACGCTACTTTCTCACTATTAAATTTCTCCCATTTCTTTCCATTGAATGTCTGCAAAAAAAAAAAAAAATTAATTATTTACTATTGCACTTGTGCTTTCGGTGAAATAAAAGCAATAGCAAGTTTATGAAGGATCCCTGCGTAAATAATACCTGACAAAAAGGAACTATGAGCGTGGGTTCAGTCATATTTATAAATGCGTAGCCTACATTACATTTATTCTGCAACACAAAGAAATATCAAAGAATCAAATATGAAAGATGCTGCCAAATTAACATCGTCCAGAAACATCCAGCTACAAAAATAAAATGAACTTCAGAAGCAAAAAATTAAACTTGCCTTAAAATCAATTGGCAAGTAAATGAAATCATAAGTCCCTCTATGACGTTCATCAATTGCAGCCAACAGCATCTTTGAGGTGTACCTAATATTGCAACCACAATGAAAGGCTATAAAAAGGAGGATACAAGTGCATAAAAGCTAGAAATAACCAGCCTAAAGTTTATCTGGGCAGCGAAATATCATCGCTTTGTATGTGTATATAATCAACAAAGGTATAAAGAAAATAATTACCACATGTATACGAATATACAAGCTCAAAAAAAAAAATAGTGGGATTAAGACGTACTTGTTAGGAATGTTCTTTATCATAAGGGTAGTTCGCTTATCGTCTCCTCGTAAAATCCGGTCAAGGTCAAGCTCAAACTGTTTCTTGTTGTCAGGTTGAGTTGAGTTGCTTTCTGTTCTACGAGTTCTACTTCGTTCATTAGGAGAATCAAATGAACTCATCATAGGGAGCATTTGGCCTCTCGAAGGAAAAATCATGCACCTCTGTTGATGGGGATGCAATCCAATATTTTTGGGCATATCCAAAGAATTTCCACCAGAGCGAGGAAAGATGTTGTGAGGGACAAATTCCATTGGATGTGGCGAATTACCAGAGATCCTCATATTCCCAAGTGAACCAGGGTGAAACAGAGCAGCATCGGGCGATTCTCCACCATAAGCATTCCTTCTGTCCCATACAGAAGGATTCACAGAAGGCGCTGACCCCACATGATGGTTGTTTAGAGGCAGAAGTGCGTTCAGCATGTGAGAAGGTGCTCTTGGAACTGCATGCAACTGTTGTGGATGATGTGAATTAGGCCACAGAACAGCCTGCGGTTGTGGATGATGCGAATTACTCCACATATAGTGACGCCCAGGTGGCGGGCAGCTCCCGTTTCCAGAGGATCCAAACACTGAAGAGAACAAGACCAAATTACTCTGCTTCTATTATCCAATATACAGCTAACAAAAACACAATCTTGGAAAAGGTGCATAGAATATAGAGAAAGCAACTAAATCTTGGCAATTGTTATTACCTTCATTTAACTCGATTGATTGAGCGTTAGAGCTAACTCTACGAAACTGTTGGCCATCAATCATTTCTTGTTGTCGGGAAATAATATTGGCAGACATATTACTCGGTGAACCAAAGGGATGACCGTTTGCTAAACCATCGTGATATTCAGGAAGAGAATGGGGATGAAGATTTGGCGACCCGTGGAGCTCAAATTTCAGGTGGTTCCTCAAGTGGCCAGTTTCAGGGATAGTGGACTGGTTTACTGGTTCAGCTCTTACTAGAGATGGTAAGCTGTTAGGTACACTAGACGAGTGAAGCATATCATCCAGCAAGGGATTAATAGAGCCTCCATTTGCTGAGAGGTGGGGAATTTTTCCATTATCTGTACCGGGTGCAATCCCCCCAAGTGGAAGTGATCCTGGATTAATAATTACAACCACGTCCTTAATCATGATTTAATTCAAAGTCCACCAACCACCTTTACAATGAGAAAATTAAATTACCTGAAAATCCAATTGCCATGTTATTGGAAGCGTTATGCTGTTGCAACAGAAGACCAGATTCTTCCTTCTCCATCTCTGAAGAAAATACCTGCATTAACCTATACATGGGACAGGACAATCTGTTAGGAACCGCATAAAGCAATATTTGCAGCAAAATCACCAAATATCGACTAATTAATTGCGAACTTGTAAAACGAATGTCATAAATTATGAAAAATCTGACAGAGGAAACACATAGATGAAGTACGAAAAATACACCTTTTCGAGCCACCAGGTCGGCCTGGTTCAAGCTTAATCTGCTTTCCAGCAATGTCACTCCTGTTCAATGCACGAAGTGCGGATTCTGCAGCTCTGATATCATAGAATTCTATAAATTTGTGATGAGGTATATGTGGAGCATCACGGATCTGCAACCCAAAAACAATAGTTACCTCCACTCAATGTAAACTACAAGTTATCATATTTAAGCTGCCACTCAGACTCACCTCCTTGATTTCACCATAGACACCAAAAATTTCATGGAGTTCATCATTTGAAACAGAAGAATCAAGATTGAAAACAACAAGAGTGCCCTGATTTATATCCTTTTCTGATGGATTCTCCTGGCAAGCATAGCCAGTGAAAGAACAGTTCAGAGAGCATAGTTTGTGTTTAGATAAGCAAAGGGAAGAATAAAAAGTCAGAAACAACAAAGTACAGCATAGCAGAAAATCACCTTCGGAATTGAGAAATGTATATCAAGTTTCCGACGTCTTAAAGGCTTATTCTGGAGAGTTTTCATTGCATTGCGGGCTGCTCTTATGTCATAATATGAAATCATAACAAAACCCCTGTGCTTGCATGCTGTATACAGGGTGCGAATATCTCCATATTGCTACAAATATAAAGAATCAACCAGTAAGAACGTTTACGAATCTACTCTTGAATTAAAATTTCAAACCGCAAAAGGTCATATCACTGCTTACCTCAAAAAGTGTTTTCAATTCTGAATCTTCAACATTGCTGTTTATGTTTCTCACAAAGAGAGTTCTAGAAGGGTGCTCTCCGAAAGGATGTTCCCCGCCATTTGCAATAACAGATGTTGCCAGCTGGCTAATGGAATTCACATCAGACAGTTCAGAGTTTCTCTGTGAGTAGCCATCTTCTCCAAGTTCCAGTCCCCCAACATTGCTAAACATGTCTAGATCTTCCATGTCATCCCCACTCGATCGCATAATGTTGTCAAAACCATCAGTCACCCCAGAGAGCAAGTCATCATCATCAGGTAGAAGATTACCAATAGTTTGAGCCTCAAGTTCTTCAAGTGATTCAAAAGCTTCATCTTCCTCATAATGGGAGGCAACAGAGTGACGGTATGCAGCATTATTTGATGATAATTTTACTGCAAGTAATAAACACAAGAGAGAACAAGAGAATTAAATGACATGCTCTAATAATTATTCGAATGAAGCAAAGTAGGGGCAAAGAGGGACATACAGTTTCTAGTAAATACTTCGGACATTGAACTTGAAAAGAGGCTGTTTTCATACTGAGCACCAATTTGATTTGTTTTCTCTCCATCGAAAAAATAGGACGCGTAATCCATATTCAAGTTCGTTCTAGAACCTAGAACATGGTCAACAGTACTCGGCAAGGAACGACTGGCTGCTCTTTCTGCTCCAACAATATGCTTTCCTAGAGAATGATTAACATTTCGACCATGATTGAGATAATAATCCGGAAGAGCAAAACCCTTTGCCATCTGCAAATCCAGTGGGATTCTATTTTCAAGAGGCGATGAAGGAAAACCTTCTGTTCTTAATGTTCCATCTAATTTTAGACCTGCAAAAGATCCAAACATTTTAGCACAAGGTTCAGAAAAGGTCAAATAAGTCTTAAGGGTAGATATTATTTTTCACGACAAGCGTCCCCTTCTCAAACGATTTATGAGCATTTATAATACACAGCTGGAATTTGGCTTTTTCTTCATAACTCAGAATTGCATGGTTCATGTGCCTTGATTTAGGAAATTCTTTGTAATTTACATGTCAAATGAACTCATGCGATCAGAGTTAAGACAGAGACACTTTTACAAGCCCGTTAAGAAAGAGTTTATAACTTTCCCAGTACAGCCCAAGTTTTTTAAGAGTAGAAATTTGAGTAGATTCTTCATCAGTTTAATTATTTATGTCGTACAAGACAAAATGCGAAGTATTAGCAACTTATTCATGGATTTAGAATGTAACAGGTGCATTGATGAACCCGTTGTTCTTTTTCTACCAAAAACTAGGGAATGATAAGTAATACAAGCACAGTCAATAAAACAATTAATAGCATTAGTTTTGATACAGCTAATACGAGTCCTAACTAAACAAACATCTTCAATCAATCTGAAGCTTGTGAGGACAAAATTTCTCATATACCTAATGAAACTATGCTTATAATTAATTGTTTTGTACCCCCAATAATATTATGTCAAAACTTCAATTTCCATAAACTGAAACTAATCTTAACTGGTTCGAGCTGGCTATGAGTTTTACTTAATTTTCTTCATCCCAAGTGTTTAAGTTCAACTACTTGTCCAAAAAAACCTTATGAATTTTTACTAAATTTTCTTCATCCGTAGTGTTTTAGTTCAACTACTTGTCCAAAATGTATAATCCAGATCAGAGAATCATTCAGTTCAATGATTATTACTAGCATGTGATCAATCAAAAACAAACATGGTGGAAGAACTTATATAAATTCCGAGGTCAATGAAGAACTTACATAAAAGATAATAAAATGTAAACAAACATTAGCTTCAGAAAGCAAAACGAAAATGTAGTAAAAGAAGATATCACCCTCTCATTTCCCTCCCCTGTTGTTTTCTCTTAAAAGAGAGAGAATTTAAGTAATTGAACAGAGTCACTCTGGCACACAATATAATATATAATGCTGTGTAAGAGCAGCCAGCAACTTAAAATATCATTGACTACTCACCAGAGTAACTAGTCATATGGTCCATCTTCCTTAGACCAACCTGCCTCTGCAAATTTTGGAAACAAGCAAAATGGTTAATCAATGACATGACACAAATAAACAAAAGAATGTCAAATTTTTCTTTCTTTCCTTTTGTGTCTTCAAGTTTTATATGAGGTGACACTTAATGGTGATGCAAATTGTCCGACAGAAATATCTTAAGAAGGCATATGTCGACATTGTAGGGAGATCAATACCTCATCAGACAAACACACCTCCTCAGAAAAGAAAGATGAAGGAGGAAAACCACGGCGATTCATCATTTGAAAAATTCAAGTATTTATGGCTTCCACCAAAGTAAAAACACGTAAGCTCTGTAAGGAAGCTCAAGAAGAAACGGCTCGAGGAAACCCTAGAAATTCACAAGATGATTACTTTGTTCAAAAAAAGAAAACAGCATGAAAAAAACTATAGAGAAACAACAGGACAAGTAATCTAGTGCTTGTAACCCAAAAAGAAAAAATATAAGCTGGTATAACTCAACCAATTTTCAGTTACAAGTAGAGAGGATTCAATTGAGATTTTCAGTTTGATTAATAGGTTCCCAAAAACTGGCGCTGAAACACATGTACAAAATTCTCATGATAACAGTTGCATTTAAGATCTCACCGCTAGAAAGGTAACTAAATTTATTTTTTAATTTATTGTTTTGAAAGAAAAATAAAATAAAAAAGACAGCTTTACGAAATCTACCAAATCCCCCATAGAAAACTTCTGAATTGAGTAGATCGAAACAAGGAAAGATCACCTAAAACTCTCCAACTCATAATCAGAGAAAACCAAAGGCCAGCCCTCAAAATTCAGGTGATTAAACCATAATTCAACATCGGATCACACAGTAAAAAATCTCAGAAAATCAAAAGTTTGCAATATTTGTGCTTAAAAACCAAAATCCTAAAAAGATCAAGTCTAGAAAACTCAAAATTCCACCAAAAAAGAAAATTAAAAACAAAAACTCACCTCGAAAATTACAGCGCCATTTCTCGGAACTCAGAAGCAAAATTTTGAAGAACAAAAGGAAGAAGAGGTAACAAGGAGTAGAAGGAGACAACTATAAGAGAAGGATTTGAAGAGAGAAGAAAAAAAAGAGGAATCAACAGAGAATTTAAAAATGACAAGAAAGGGAATAAATTGCGGCAAAAGGCAAGGGTAAGGGAGATTGAGGAAGAGATCTAGGTATCTGTGCCGTGCAAATAACCTCCTCCAAAGCTTCTTCGATGCCTTTCTCTCTCTTCATTTTTTCCTTGCTGTTTTCCCTACATTGCACGTTAACCACATGTATCATCTATTCTCTCTCTCTCTCTCTCTCCTAAATATTTCTCTGTAATATATATAAAATTATACATACGAATTGCGCTCTCTCTCTCTCTCCGTCTATCTCCCCATTCAGGAAATCGGCCGTTTTCTGCTTGCGTAATCTCTCAACTACCGCGCTCACGGCCGGAGATGACGTCACTTTCCGGCCAGAAACGGCGGAGATCCTGATCTCCACCTCCCGCTTCCGAGCTCAGAATTTGAATTACCAATAAACAAAATCGAACCGTATGCAGCACAGGAAAAAAAAGGTAGAGAGAGAAAAAAAAAAGGATGGAGATCGGATTTTATGGAGGGTTTGAAGAGAGAGAAAGAGGACAATTGAGAGAAACAGAGAAGAAAAGAGAGAATAAAATTAGACTAACAGGAGAGAGAGAAAGAAGAGAGAGAGAGAGAGCGAGGATTTAGATTTTTAAAAATAAATAAATAAATGAAAAAGAAAAATTAATCTTGCAAACAAAAAATGTTTTCTTTAGAAAAAAAGGGTGAAAGACTGTTTTCCGGTGTATTTCGCTAATGTGGTTCGAAAACGTAAATGCCATTCTTATCGAATGAGATATTATTGTCTACGCCGCGTGCCTACCTACACTCGGCCAAATTTTGCCCATCATTTATCCGATCATTATTAATCATGGGCTGTTTAACACCTCTCACATATTTTATATCCTTAATTTCAAATACAATTCTTATTATTATTATAATTTGCAACCAAATTTTATTATATGCCTCTCAAATAAATATTTTCCTCGCCCTTTATTTTCCGTTTATTTTTATCCTTTTTATTGTTGATAAGATTTTGTTTCCGCTGTTTTCGGTCAAAAAGTGACGACAGTTGATATTAATTTCACTTTTCATTTCTGGCTGATTTTATATATATATATATATAAATGGTGACTAACACGTCATTTTTTTTATATATATGGTCATTAACTCGTCTTGTTATGTGAATTGAAATATAATTTCAATTTGGTTCTACTTAATTATATTTTATTTTTGTAATTTATTGTATTTATACGGTTTCGTAGATCGCAGTATCTTATACGAATAATTTTTCAATTACTAAATATTAAATTTTAGGTAAGAAATAATCAACCAATTACTCAGATGTTACAACTAAATTATAAAAAGTATATAATAATCATTCATGCATTGTTTTGTTGTGCAATTAAATTAATTTAAATTAGGTTATATTGCATGCTATACACGATAAGTAATATACGTAGTATTAGTGAATCAAATCAAAGTTTAATCAATTGTTCCATGCGCAATTTGGATAAAGACACCAAATATTTATAAATAAAATATTTTAAAACACGTCAAATGAGTAGTCAAGTGAATTTTCAAAGCATTTATTTAAGCTGAGTTTTGTGAAATATTCTGCATTTAATATTTGAGGCATTTAATTATTAATAAAATATCAAGAAATAAAAGGGTGTACGAATGCTATACGTGTACGAGATGTAGAGTATAGTTTCTTGTCAAAGGACAAGGCCGGTTGCCGTTAAGAGGGTTAAACGGCGTTAAAGAAAGAGAAGCATCAGCCGTTGTAATCGGGTAAGAAACACGCTGGCCATTTATTGTTAGCTAGATTGTTATTGGTTTTGGTTTATCTAATCTCTAAATGTGAAAAGACCAAAAGGGGTTTGGGGAAACATGATAATATCATTAATTTTGTTAATCAGTATTAGGTAATTAAAACAAAGAAAACTTTAGGTGAGAAGGGCAGTGAGAAACAGGTCAGGTTTGGGTAACGATGCCTTTAATTTGGAGTGGGGCCCTCTTGAAATATGTGCTGTTTGGGAGATAAGGATTTGTTACGACTATTTTATTAGTATTATTATTATCGTTGATATTGTTTATTAATTATCTGTTATTATTATTATTATTAATATAATATCTAAAATTATTGGATCTTGTCACAAGTGTTTTACATTATTATCAGCCTTATTTAGGTTCGGTTTGCAAATTTTATTTATTTTTTAAATTTGGAGTGTGCAAATATCATTCATACAATGTTTTTTAATAGTCAATTTATAAGTGTTTTTTGCTTTTTTTTTTTTTTTTATAACGGTCGCAGTAGCACGGGTGAAGAATTTGAGAATGAAAGTAATATTTGTTTATATTTTGGAACAAGACATAATACATTGTAATAATCAAATAATGTTTAAATGTGCTAGAAAAATGTATTTTAGAAGTAAATTGTGGAAGATAAAGTGATGTTTGTTTATTTTTTAGTGAAAACTTTTTTTACTATAGCAGTTAAATTGATCTTTTTTTTACTATAACAGTCAAATTATTTTACTGTAGAAGTAGTTAAATCGTGTTTGGAGGAGAGATAAACTTTTAAAACTGTTTTGAGGAAATAATTGAAGAGTCAAACTAACCCAATTTTGTTTTGGAGAAACAATAAAAACAAAATAAAAATGCTTCAAAACATTGGCGTATAAATCTAATTTTGATGATATATATATATATATATATATATATATATATATATATATATATATATGAAAGTCGCAAAAAATGGACCTCCAGCTCTTATATTATATTTATTTCATGTGAGGTAAAATTTATTCCAATGTTACATTTTGCTGATAATTGCTTGTGTTTTATTCCAAAGCAAATGCAACATCCATCCAACATTTTTTAAATAATTTTGCATTAGTTGAAGGTTGAAATATTTGTTGGTCTAAGACCAAAGGTTTCTTTCCGAATGATGGATTGTCCAACAAATAAAGAGAAATTCAACGTTTTTTTAAACTTGTAACTTTGTAAGAACAAGTACTAATGATTTATCAAAAAAAAAGTACTAATGAAAAATATCTTGAATTACCTAATACCTATCATTATGGGTGGTGGCAAAAGTTACTTTCTATAGTGTTATTCATATTCGATAGGGTTTAATTCAAATTTCTTATGGTATAATCGACATATTTCTTCCGCTGGGAGAATTGTTTTGATTAGACATGTCTTACTTAAGCATATGAAGTGAATATATTTACTTTGCCAAAATGGATGTGATAAATATCATTTCAGTTTTAATAACATTGTTTCGATTTCGAGCGTGATTTTTACCATTTTTAATTTGAAATTAGCAAAACTGGAAATATGGAATTCATAGTTTTTTGAATTAGGTTTATTATTAAACTTGACTCACTAAGACTCAATGTTGAGTGAGAAATATATGCATGAATCAATATAATTCAAAAAATATATTTCATTCATGCATAACTTTGCAACCCAACATCCAATCTAGTTGACTCAAGTTTGATTAGAAATCTAACTTAAAGGGCTACAGTTTCCGTGTTTTAAATTTTACCAAAATAAAACTAGAAAATAATCACATTCAAAATTAAACCAGTATTAGTAAAACTGAAACAATGTTTAATATTTTAGTAAAATTATTTCTATTAGTAGAGATATTTATGAAATTTTGGGCCAAATTCAAACATATAAAGTTTAGCTAATTAAAAAAATGTTTGTCCAAACTAGGACGATTGGCATAAGAAATCTGTTGTTTGACAAAACCGCCGGTGAATTTCCCTTTTGTGATAAGTCTAAATTTTAAAGGTCAAATGACAAATAGGCGCATGACAAGGGCACTTAATTAAAAGAGGGACATTCAACTTTTTTGTCTTTCAAATAAATCCAACTCATTCAAACTTACTTGCAAATAAGGAAAATTCTTTTATATATACCAAAATTACCCCCAATTCATTGAAACCCAATTCAACTCCAATTTCATGATTTACACCCCAATTTAGCCCAATTTCATCAATTAACCAATTTTAACCATAATTTCAATGTTGACCCCAATTTTGACCCGCCACAACCAGAGACCGCCAGTCGCCGCCGTTAACCTCCGGTCTCCGGCGTTGACTCTTTTTTTTTTTTTTTTGAAAACTTTTTTTTTTCGTTAGGTCAACTGCAGTTGACCGCCGGGTCTCCGGCGTTGACTTTTTTTTTATATAATTTTTTTTTTCTTAAAAAAATATTTTAATTAATATTACTATCTTGGCAGCTAAATAACCTGTCGGAGACAGTAATATAACTGTTAATTGACCTTTTTTTCTTAAAAAATATTTTAATTAATATTACTGTTTTCGCTGCTAAATTACTGTCTTCAGCAGTTATTTAACTGTCGGAGACAGTAATTTAACTGTTAATTGACTTTTTTGTTTTTTAAATATTTTAATTAATATTACTGTATTCGTTGCTAAATTACTGTCTCCAGCAGTTATTTAACTGTCGGAGACAGTAATTTAACTGTTAATTGATTTTTTATTCTTAAAAAAAATATTTTTAATTAATATTACTGTATTCGTTGCTAAATTACTGTCTCCAGCAGTTATTTAACTGTCGAAGACAGTAATTTAACTGTTAATTGACTTTTTTTTTTTTTGAAATTTTTTTTCTTAAAAAAAAATATTTTAATTAATATTACTGCATTGGCTGCTAAATTACTGTCTCCAACAGTAATTTATTACTGTCTTAGACAATAATATTAATTATATTACTGTTCGGGAAAATAATATTCATAATATTACTGTCCCAAACAGTAATATTACTGTCTGAGACAGTAATTTAGTAGCCAAGACAGTAATATTAATTAAAATATTTTTTTCTAAGAAAAAAATATTTCAAAAAATAAAAGTCAACGCCGGAGACCGGCGGTCAACGGTGGTTAACCGGCCGGAAAAAAATTTCAGGAAAAAAAAAAGTTTTCAAAAAAAAAAAGTCAACACCGGAATCTGGCCGGAAAAAAAAATTCAGAAAAAAAATTATTTTCTGAAAAAAAAAATATTTTGGGGGTTAATGTGATATATTTGTTTAAAGCCGGTATCAATGTGTAATATTAAGGAAGTTAGAGCATAATGGATGGAATTGATAAGAATTATATTATGGAGGGTATTGTAGACTAAAGACATGCGGATGAGTTTAATTGAGAGACTGTTTTTTTTTGGACCAATGTGCATTTAAGGCCCATGTGATGAGCCTTTTTGCCATTCCCCCAATTTTAAATTCACTTTAGTTATAAACTTATTGGTTTTATAATGCCTAAGTTGTCCTTTCTTTGTCTTTAATTTTATTTTAATTTTCTTTTTTTCTTTCAAGTTTTATTTTTGTTTTTTTAATTTTGATTATTTGATTTTCTTTTTTTACTTTTTTGACAAGTTTGGGTCTTTCTTTCATTCAAAAAATAGATTTTTTTTTTTCGAACAGGTTTATTATAATGAAATCTTTTAAAAACATATCAAAATTCACTATAAACATATCAAAATCCACCATGCAAAATAACGTAATCCACTACAAATTAAAGTAATAGATAACGAAATTGATGTAATCAACTATTAAATTATTGTAATTCACTACGAAA